TACTGAGCTCTTTTAGACTTGCTACATGAGCCAAGTTATTGATCTTGTGAAGGTGTTTACTGCAATGAGGGTCGAACGAAGCAAATTGGCCTGGTGTCAAGTGTGAGTTGATGAGGGAACACTAAAATGCTAACAGAGGAAGGGGAACATACATTGCTTTCACTAAATTCCCTCAATGTTGCATCTGTGCAGTGTGAAATTATCCCAAATCTGTGTTGTACACCTCTGAAAGTGGATCTTATTCCTACCACTTGCATTGTTCTTTCTTTTACCACCAAAGAAAATAAGGTTAACAACAAGCTTTAACTCTATTTCTGCCTTCTCTGTCCCACAGTACCCATTTAGCACTGAGGTGTATAACACCTTCCATCTGTCGTCATCCTTTAGGATTTGACAGCCCACACTCATCCCACCCCAAGGGGGATCTCTGCCTCATTTTCCACACATAAGGGACACTGCAGGGAGACAGGGATGGTGAGAGTCCGACAGATAGAGAGAGCGTTTGCATATCTCTGTATTGTGCACCATTTTGACAGGGTTAAGTTAATCTCATTATGTGATACAAACGAGTGAGTAACTTCGGGGTCCTCAGAGGGTTAGAAATATGAAACTGAAAAGGAATGTGGGTCAGGAGATCACACAGCAACATCAGTTTGTTTCTGTGCGAAATTAGACAAAACAAGAAATGTTTGCACATGTTTGTGTGTGTGTGTGTGTGTGTGTGTGTGTGTGTGTGTGTGTGTGTGTGTGTGTGTCCACGAGTCTGTAGTTATTTTGTGTGTGTACGTGAAGTAAGGCATCCCTGCAGCATGTTCTGTGCTTGCGTGAGCTCTCGCTGTGGCTTTCACGCTAGCTACTGAAATCCAGGTCATATAACACACATTGTCCACAACTCATCACTAACGTAACCTGTGTGTGTGTGTGTGTGTGTGTGTGTGTGTGTGTGTGTGTGTGTGTGTGTGTGTGTGTGTTTTACTCTTGTGTAGCCTTCTGTCTACGTTTATATATTTTCCCATGTGTAATGTGTGGGTGTAAAGGTGTCCAATGTAAATATACATTGGGACATCACAATTACTCTATATGTAAGGAGGAGCCTGATGCTAAATCCGCGCCAGTATCCATGGCAACGAGACCAGGAAGATCTCCGTCAGGCACAAAATTGCCTAAAGATGTCTGGTTATATATGCAAGGATGGAAATTAGGGCTGCGCAATATGTTAAAACATCATATCAAGATTTTTTTTACAGATACTGAGATTAATGACTAGTTTGGGAATGCTAATTTTTCATCACAAATTTAATTTTTAATGAAAAAACTATTAAAATGTATGACAATCATGGGGTCTGTACCAAAGAAACATGTTTTCTTAAATCTGGAGAACGGGATTTGTAGATCTCTGCAGAATTACAGTACTTCATCATGATCAAACATTTTACATTAATCAAATAAAATGCAGCCCTGGTGGAAATATAAAGCTTCATCTAGGGTTGTAACTAATGTTTGAATGTGTGAATGTTTGACATGTTTGTTTTAAAAAGCTAATTTGTTGGCAATGTATCATCTATAGGACATTTTATGAGCCAGTAGGATCTCTGTTTTATCCTATGGTCTACTTCTAGATTTTATGTTATTATTAGTATATTAATTCATTATATGAAATGAATACCATCTATTTGTTCTATATTTATCTATAAATTTCTTTGCTGACCCAGTTTTACCACAGGTTCATTAAAGTTTCATCTAATGGTGTTCTCTATGCAGTAGACTTAAAAGGGAAAGGTAAAACCTTAGATCATGGATGATGTATTTGTGCATCATCAGAGGTTTCACCAATCCAGTGAGATTGGTTTTAGCTCTTGTTTTATCTTCCAACCCTCATTTATGGTCATTAATTTCAGGTAGTGAATAATGATGAACAATGATGTGAATACAAACAGATAAAATGAGTTTCCTGCATAGGATGTTCGGGCAGGAACATGATGAGAAATTGAAAGGAGTAGAAATGCAGACCCAGAGGAAGAATTCCCGAATCCTCTTTTACATTGACAGGAGAAAGTTGAGGTGGTTCAGCCATCTGTTAAGAACACTTCCTGGAGGCCTCCTTTTAGAGGTATGGGCATATTCAACTAGGTGAAGACCTCAAAACAGACCCAGAGGAAGAATTACCTAACCCTTCTTGTATTGCCTGACCAATAAATCAGCCAATTTTTTGCAGTAAAGATGATTTTAAGTTAGAAACAGTGCTTTTTGATTGTGAGACTTGACAGGCTTTCTATCCCATTAAAAAAGCAACAGACATCTAACCTTTCTGAAATGACAACGGCAGAGGCTGACATTGTGCACTTTGCAATGTAGGAAAGGCGCTGACATCTTTTTATACTAAACAGGGGTTAACACATGGGTGGTTGTGTAGCATGCAATGAATGAGACTACTGTAGATGGTAGCTGTCTACTCTAGCATAAAATCACTGTTGTAACATTCAAAAAATTTAAAGATCTGTCAGCATGTAGCCTATGACCAATGACACTCCAAAGATCAACAGTAAACTTAAAGTAATGGTTTTGTACCTAGGCTACATGATGTGGCACAAGTGAGCAGCAAGCTAGAACAATGCCTGTTTCATAGTAAGAGTAAAAATGATTATGAATGATGTAAAGGCTTGCACATATACCCGTGGTAGTTGTGAGTTGTGCTGATTTGACATGAAGGCTTGTAGTTTTGCAGCCACAGCATTTGTAACCCAGAATTGGTAATGTGGTGAACTGGGTCAGGATCTGTAGATTACAGAACCAGAGTGACATCGCAGCATGGAGGAGAATATGAAAATGGAAAGTAGAGTGTTAAATCTTGCATGCTTCCTGTTCTCTTAACCACCATGGCACGATTGTTGGCATTTGTTCTTTTTTGTTATCAACTAAAATGCTTCAGGAGTTTCACCAGGCTCTGTAGACACTTGAATCAAAAATGCATTCATGACCAAGATCAGGAGAACCAGAGATAGAACAACAGGGAGTGATGTGGAGCCTGGAACTGTTTGCATGGGTCAGATCCTGTTGTAACAGGGTGAAGCCCCTCATCCTACTGCTTCTCTATCAAATATTCACCACCTCCTGCAAAGCTAACATTTAAACACCAACAGCTAGCAGAGAGAGGGAGGGCAGAGAGAGGCAGGGAGAGCTGGATGGGGGTTGGGCAGTTTAAGGACATTCATAATCCAGAGCAAAGAGAATGCCTGCTCCTATAACCAATCCTCTATTTTGGGAAGTGCCTGTCTGTCCCTGCTGTGTCCTCGAACAAGAACAGCGGAGCAGCTACATCAAAAGACGATGCTTTTAGAGCAGCATTTGGCCATTTTATATCTCTAAGGCCCTGAATCATGAATTCATTGTACATGTGAGACAGAGAAAGTAGATGTGGATGTTCTTTGGGGGTATAAAGGGAGGATTGAGACTCTTGAATTCAGGCTAAAGAACCAAGTCTATTATTAGCTCCATGTAACTGCTGCCAACTGGAGCGCATGTGTGTGTTTGTGTGTGTGCCAAACACATCAGCCATCAGAAAAACAGTAAATCCAAAGAGCAACGTGTGCATGTCCTTGCTCTGATACAGATTAGATCAGCACACGCACACTCATAATGAGATTTAAACAGTCAATTCCATTATTTTGGCAGGGGGTGTGGTGTTAAAGGCTTGGGGCAGGGGCCACCGCCTGGCTTTGCCATTTAGAACAACCACAGGCAACGCTGTCCTGACATCTAACATCCTGAAACAAGCATGTACATTTGTGCTCCCATAATGTTCTCCATCTATTCTAGCTCTCCTCTGGAGGCTGAATGTGTGTCAGAGATGAATTTTGCATATGTATGAGGAAGAAGAGGAGGAGGAAGGAACTGGGACGGCAAAGTGGAGCATCATGACCAGGAGTTGCTATTGATCCACACAGGAGAGGATGAACCTGCACAGCTGCTTCACCTTCACTCTGACCTTTAATCTGAAAGCTAATGCTTGATGAGTCCTGAGGACACATTGCAAGCAACAACTGCTTCTTTCGCTCAGCATCTAAACATTGACACTGTTTGCTGCTGTCTCCTGTGCACTAATTAAATGTGTTTTCAGTCTGTACAGTGTTTTCTCCCATTTATACAGTGTGCTAAATAAACATTCACAACTTCACATAAATATTAGATATTTTTTCCAGATCATCACACTGTACCACTGAGTTGCCGTCGTGGCCTGAACCATAAACAGCAACGTCCACAGTTTGAATTTAGCTGGGGACCTTTTAGGCTGCCCCCTGAAGGTTAGATTATTCAAATCATCCATCAAAAAGACTCAAGCCAACTCCAAATAGGACCACAAGCACAGCAGGCTGTAAAAGTCAGAGTATCAGAATTACCAAACTACAAAACTAACAAGATGGAAACAGAGAGAGCAGCACAACTTTGGTGCTCTCAGCTCCAGTGCCAAATATTAGCAAAGTCTAAGTTTGAACCAGTCACTGGTACAACCTTCTCAACTGTTCAGTGTGGCTGACAGAAGACACAACCTTTTAAATACTGTATTAACATACTGTTAATATGTATAAAACAGCCCCAACACATTTTTAGAAACTGTGTAATTGAAGCAAAAACCAGGTTTGTCCTTATCTAGACACGTATTATGTCTGCTTCCCTGTATGCTCCTTCAAATCTTAGCAGTAGGACAAATATTCAGCAATAACTACTAAAAATGAGCCTGTTGTCCTTCAGTGAACGTGAAGAGAAGCCACTACACCAATCTGTGTGTCTTTATCAATAAATAAACCTGATTAATCAATCAACCCAATAAACAAATTATACTTTGATAACATCCACATACAAACCAATCCATCATGTCATATTACCAGGTCTCTTGGGTCTGAACGCAAATGAGGCAATACAGGCAAACATGATCAGAAGAGACAAAGATTAGCAGTGTGTGTGTGTGTGTGTGTGTGTGTGTGTGTGTTTACGTTTCTTACCTCTCCATAGTCGGTTGTAATGATAAGGGTTCCATCTCCACAGGAGTTGACTGTGCCAGGAACCAGCTGCTCCTTCTCTTTGACCCAAACACGGGCCCCCTGGATCACAGACACAAACAGAGACTGAAGTTAAGCAGTGCAACCAGTACGAGGGGGAAAAAAGAGTATTGGTTACATAAAGTGATAAACAACTGGTGACTAGAGTGGAGGTCTTCTAGAGTCTGTGATGCTCTTATTTAGAAAGGTATATATGTTTGGCTTACACAGGAAGTAATTTTGAGCTAATAGTCAGTTGTTTACAGCGGAGCTCTGTGATAAAAGACTGTGAGAAGTTAGCTCTACAAGTGTATTACAGTGAATCACTAATGCACAACAGCCAACAGTATCTTTGGACAAACGGGCAAGCACACACAACTTGACCATGATGATTTCTGTAACTTTCAGAAACCGATAATCCAACATTCACGCCCACTTCACACCGTGATTGGCCAAATCGTCCTCTCAATTTCCTCTCTCTAGCTCTCTTTTTTCATTCTTGACACAACTATTTTGCCACTTTTCATGTGAATGACCAAATGGAACCAATGCCTTTAAGGAGAGAAATCCTCCTATTACAACAATATCACATCTCCCCCCCACCCTATCATGACTTCTGGCCTTGTCTTCCATTGTGGCCATTTAACACTTTTGATTTCCAGCGTGGTTGTACAACACGTCTTATGAACTAGTTCTTTTCTAGCACAACCCGACAGTCCTTTAGGTTCATTTCTACAACATGTAACACCGTCTGTATGCACGATGAGTGTGCATGGGTGCACACAGATGTCACAGATGTGTTTAATGAGAGACGAAGACTTTAACATCTGGACTGGCAACAATGCTTGACATCTGTGTGCGTGTTTGTGCCTGTATGTGTGTGTGTGTGTGTGTGTGTGTGTGTGTGTGTGTGTGTGTGTGTGTGTGTGTGTGTGTGTGTGTGTGTGTGTGTGTGTGTGTGTGTGTGCGCGCGCGTGTGGTTGACTCAGGGTCAGAGGAAGTGTGCTCTTTCCACATAGACAAAGCCCTCTTTCACACAGTAACTGACCTCTGACCCCCAACCCTTAAAAAGGGGCACAGCATAACAGTGGATGGAGAGAGGAGAGGACAGAAAAGGAAAGAAGAGAAGAGGAAGAAGAGGAGGCAGTCAACAGGGCTACTGAATTACTGTAAAAACAGGAAATGGACGACATGCCCTCCCCTAAACTTGTAGAATTTAGTGTATTGCACCAATAGTGAATTACAATAGCATGAGGTCAGGATGTCAACGATGTCACAATGAACAAAATCATCCAATAATTCACAGCTGTAATCGATCAAGTTAAAGATAAAGAGTAATCTTGAATAGATTTCAGCTTCTAAATTATAGGATTTGGTGATTTTCTGTGTTCTATATCAAGGCGAATATTTTGGGGTGTTGGTCTGACAAAACTAGACATTTGAAGACATCACCTTGAGGAAGGGTATGATTTCACATGATATAATTTTTCATGATTTTCTAACATTGTCCAAACAATTAATGAATAAAACGATAACGAAAACAACTGCAGCCTTAAAACGTAATCACTATCTGTTACATTCTGGCGATGTTTATAGTAAAGTCTCAGCTTGTGATTCTTGATTTTTTAAATCTGAGCAGTGGTGTACTGGTGATGCATTGAAAGAGATCTTGTTGTATAAAGAAAGTTTGCAGACATAATTATTTAAGCCCTGAAAAGACTCTGTGGGACACCAGATGTGTGCAACAGAAGAGGGGTGGAAATGAATTGTTTTAGCAACAGATGGTCCCAAACCCCCAAGCACTCCCTGACAACTTTTATTTCTTTCATTTTCCTTTTTTTTTTTGTGTCTTTCTTGCGCTCTGTATCATTCTGACACACACACACACATACACTGATGATAATAGAAAACCAGTCGTGCCCCAGGCTGTGCAGTTAACCAGGCAGAAATCATTCACACACACATACAGTAGACTACATATACACACTGTTGGGTAGCTCAAGGTGAGGCTTAGGGGAAGAATGTCTGAATGCTTTTGGATACAGTATTTAACACTGCTGGCTTCTGCTAAATATAAAATGTAGTCCAGCATTTGCATCAGTGGCAATGGCAGAAATTAAGATAAACACTCAAAATGCACATCATAGTGTTGTTCTATCCTAATGAGGACATTTAATTGACTGCATTCAAACCTTTTATTTTGAGTTCCACATGACTTAACATGCCTGAATGTTGATTCCATAGGATGAATCTTACTGACTTTTCCATAAGCACTACCATGTCAACTGTCAACTACAAGATGGCTTGCCATGAAATGTGATACATAAATGTATATCTCACTCTGGATGAACTGTAGTAACTTTGGTGATTGCTGACTTTTCGTCATCATTAGATCAATATCAAATGTTGTCCAATACTTTGGTTTATGACCAAATACCAAAACTAATGGCATTCCCATCCGTCTTATCTGAACTTTGTGTTTCGTGCTAATTCCCAATGTTGGCGTGTTAACACTCTACACTAAGATGATAAACTTAACATGCAAACATACAGCCTCCTGGAGCCTGTACACTCTGTAACACATAAACAAATTAGTGCATATCTGTATTGTGATGGTGTTTGTGTTTTCAATATTTTATAGACAAACTGGCCTCATTGAGGATATTAAAGTCACTGCATGTTACATCGAATGCTAATTCACTCTAATCTTTGCGTGAACAAGCCTCATGCATCTAGAATCACTCTGACAACTGAAAAATTCAAGAGCCTCCGCTGCGCTCTCTGTTGTTCTCTCCACAGCAACTCTCTATATATAGCCCCTTCATCGCTCCTCTAGATCCCCTCTCCCTCTCTCTGCAGTCAGTCAGCCTGTCTCGTCCCTAAATCCAGCTCAGATTCAAGCACACAGAGCCATTGTAACAATGGTGGTGCCGGGACTTGATCTGGTGACCATCCTGGCCTGAGGCTCTATGCTCATAGTTCAACAGCATTTCACTACATCCTGTTTTAACTGATAAAATGACCTCTGACCCCACTTAAAACTCTAATACTGGACCTTGAGCACCAGTCTTGAAGCACATAAATACATTATTTTTCTTTCTCCTTTTGCTCTCCATAAACCAGATTATAATGCATATTTTAGCTGTCTGCCTCACTCTCTATCTGTCTCTTCTTTAAGTAAATTGGTCTCCAGTCCCAGATCGATGTACTTTGCCTGAGCCATGTGCTATCTCTGGGGGAAATGCAGCAAAGGGGAGACAGAGGGTTATAAATGACCTGCCAGCATTACAACCTACACCCACCAACACCCTTGTATTCCTGCTCCTACTCCTCCACCTCCTCTTCATGTCCTCCCATCCCCCTGTCTATTACTGGCCCAGACGTACAGGAATGGCCATGCATGACAACAAACTCTGGTGCTTTCTGTGCGCTGAAGGCCACATGTATGAAAAAACAGGTTTTTGCACAGATGCTTCCACACATCTCTAACGTTTCTCACAATTCTGCTCTGTGAAATTCAAACCGAACCGCAGTCAAACTCTGGCCTCCAGCTTCGTCCATCACCTTTTCGTCATGCTCCATTAAACCTCAACCAACCTCAATCGTCACTTTACCCTCAAATATGACCCCTAACCTCATATCTCCGACCAGGCTTTCGAACCAAAGAGTTGAAAGAGTACCAAGGCATGCTGCCCGAGGAATGCAATTTGATTCATCTCTTTCTGTTAAAGTTAAATAATATAAAAATAAATGGTAGTGTCCTTTCAACAATGTCAAGTATAAGCTATATTTTAGATGATTGATAGTTGTTTTCATTAATCTATTCTGTACCTGTACCTGAACACACCACTTGTTCAGCCTGGCAGCTACCCTGAAACCATCAAATAGTTTACTTATTTTTTGTCTTCTTCTTCTTTTGTTTGATTTTCTGGCAACACAATGTCTGTTGGCTCTCAAATAATATTCCTGATAGTCCCAACAAAGACCCTGTTCGTAGTACCTCAAAGAAGCATGACTTTTACAAAGCAATAAAGACAAGGACATATTCAGTGTGAAGGAAGCAATTCCAATCCCAGTAATTTGACTTTCAGAATATATTTACCGAACGCCTGAAAGGTAGCTTTAGTCTTTAGCTTTGGGTGGGTTAAAACATGCAAAACCTCTAATATAGTCCTATATATACAGTATAATCCATAGGATCAAATCATGTGGTTCAATAATATATTTCTCTTTCCTCCATGTATCAAGGCCTCTACGCAGGGGGGAGGTTGGCAGGGTTGATTATACAAGGAAGAAAAATGGGAGAACTATTAAGAAAATCCTGACCATCTAATAATCTTTCATTACCGAGCACACAAAAGAGAGCATCCCCTGAGCATTTGGCCCAGATTCCTGAACAGCTGTATGTATGTGTGTGTGCGTGTGTCTGATAAATGCCTTGTTTCTGCTCAGGCGATCACATGGACTGCCATGCCATTCTGACGCCCAGGAGACCCTCTCTGAAGAGTGACCTCAGATGAGAGACGTTAATGCCCCGACAAACAACGACCACTGACCCAAACATAGGACGAATGTATGCTGGCATACTTTTTACTTCAAACTGCACATTCGGCAGTCACTCAAATTAGTATCTTGTTACATAAAAACACACAAAAACACACAGTAAATGCACAACGCAGTCACTCTGAGTCAGGACGTGATTAACACTATCTCAGAAATTAACATAACAAAACACATTTGTTCGCATAATAGGTTCATGGGCACAGTGTGTGCAGGTAGACAGGCAAGCAATCATTTCATTCAGGCCAAGTGAGATGATTGGCTCGCTCACTACAAAGACATAAATGAATGACAGCCACAGAAAAAGGGAAAAGGGAGTGACTCACAGGAACAGAAGCATATCTGACAACCATGTACTGACAGGAGGACAGAGGAGAGGAGACGGACATGACAGAGAAACAGGGGTAAAGAGGGACAATGGTGATGATAGTAGAGAATACACAATAAGTAGAAAACGGGAGCAAAGGTTAAAAGTAGAGGAGGCTAAGGGAAGACACAGAATG